TCTAACTTCCAATCTTGTATTGAACACTTTTTTTAAAACTTTTTTTTGTATTTGATTTACTATATTATAACCAAATGCTAATGATGCCCATCTAGATGCACTTTGGCTGATAAAAAAATATATATATATTTTGGACTCTATTGAAAAATTTAGAAATTTTTAATGAACTTTTGGCAACATCAGCAATTAATAGATTTAAGTTATGAGCAGTACAATGTACATATAAGGAACTGGGGACTACATCAGAAATTATAAATACAATCATAAATATTTAATTTTCGATTCTTCATTATATAAAAATTCACTTAAAATAGGATCAAACTCTGCCATTAATTTAACTGTGCGTAAAAAATTTCCTTCAGAATTACTGTTAGCTTTTCCTTCATTTCCTCTCAATGCAGTATTTCCTGCGGTAAAGCATAATATTATTTTTATTAATTGTTTTAAAACTTCGCTCTAGAATTTTGCTTCTTCAAATATATGATTTTCCAAGTTTTTATCTATAGTTTCATTTTTAATCCAAATTATTTACAATTGTATGGCTTCTATATGCTGTGTACAGTTTTTATGTTTGATAATTTTTTGAGTTAAATATTACCATCAATGCCGTAACTGGGGGGGTCCAGGGGTCCGGACCCCCCGAAATTTTTAAAAGTAGAAGCGGTGAATATAGTTTATTAACTATAAATTTTATTAAATAATAATATTAGACCCCCCCCACCCCCAAAATTGTTTTCTAGTTACGGCCTTGATTACCAGTCATTTATATAATTTATCTAATTAAATTTAAGTTTATATTTTTTCGATCCGCAAACAACCAACAAGATTCAAAATATAATTTATTTAAAGCTAATGAATAACATAGCCACATTCTAGGTACTTTAACACCGGATTTAGTAGTCATATAATAAAAGTCTTTGGAATAGTGTCAGCTAGATTTCATAGTTTTATTTTTATCACTAAAAATTATGTTCAAAGAAAAATTTATTGAAGGTTTGCAAGGGCTGTATGATAGAATTTGTTTTTTTTAAATTAGAACTGATTGTGATATTTTGAAAATTTCCTCTATCTGTTGGAAACTCCAACTTTAAATCCAATTCACCAGCTAATCATATGCAAATTTAAAAAAAAAAAAAATTAAATTTTTAGATTAGGTATTTCATAAAAATAATTTTAACTTATTGATATATTTCCTTAAAAAAAAATCCCATCTATACAACTAAATTATTGAAAAATTATATAATAATTATTAATACTCATAAAATATTTTAATATCTTTATTTAAAAAGATCTTCAGATATTTTATTTGTTATATTTAAAAAAACGTTTGTCTAAAAAAATTAACAACTCGATACTTAATTACTGTACCAATTAAAGAATAATTTTAATTTGTATAAAAATAATAGTACCATTATAATTATCCATATCAATTTTGGTTTCAGACATTTCAATTTCTTGTTGAATAGAATCAATTGTATTATTAGTTTTCAATTCAATGTCTTCATTTTTTGTAATACCTGAATATCAGAATAAACCAAGTCATACCATATAAACTACAATCTACATATATTTTGAAATAAAATAATAAAGCTTTTAAAATAAATCCTTTCCTATAAGTCAAAATTATTATTTACCAATATTATCATTATTATATACCGGCGATCAGGGCTGGACAGTATCTTAGATACTAGTATTTAAGATACGTATCTGAGATACAATTGTATCTTGTATCGAGATACATTATTTTAATGTGTCTGATATTGTGGATTTAAAACTTTTTTAACTTGTATCTAGTATCTTTTTATGATTAAAGATACTAGATACAATCTTTTGTTATGTAATAATAATTATTAATAATTTAGATTAAAGTTTTTCACGTCGAAGGCATTTACTTGATAAATGAACAAACTTTGTAATCAGCAAGTTACATAAATCCAGTTTATCGGCAGAATGTTTTTTTTTAATTTAACGCGTTAAACATTTATTTTAGAATGTGTGATTGTGCGATGATTGATTCATATTTTCTATCTACGAGATATTTGTGTATTGTCATCCGATTTTAAGTATCTATTACTAAAAACATAAATAATAATGTAATTGTTAATATTCCAAAATCCTTAGATGGACCATTTTATACAATATTAAAGTTTGATAAAATAATAAATGTGAATTTAAAAATGAAATTATTTATTATTAATAATTATTAATATTAATTATTAATTATATATATATATAATTATTTATTATTATTAATTGAAATTAGTCTCTTTAAAAGGTAACCAGGAATTTATTTTAAAACATTGGATATAACATATAAAAAACTTTTACAATAAATAACTTTTTTTAAATTTAAACATTTAATAGTTAATAAATAAACATTCTAATTTATAAATATATTTACAAGTATATTCTTTTTTATTGTACCTAATATAAATGAATAAACAAATAAATATATAAATTTTAATAAACGTATAAAGTATCTTGTATCCTATATGTTTATCAGCTACCTGTATCTTGTATCTTGTATCTTGTATTTAGATACTTTTTTTTAGGTATCTTGCCCAGTCCTGCCGGCGATGCAGTTGTAGTATCTGAGATCACGTTTAGTATCGTAAATCGATTTAACGATCCAGCCAATTTTTTCGTTTGCTCTTCTCTTTTTAGTTTTAACATTCTTTTTGCATATCCACTCAGAGGAGCCATTCCGATGTTAGGATAAATATATAAACTAAAATTTATAAAATACGTACCTATAAACTGTACGGGTATGGAGTAACGGAGTGGGAAATATTAAAATATTTAACAATTGACATGTGTACACTGTACAGTACAACCATGTATACTGTATATAGTATATTTCTGTGTGCGAGGGTCCGATCGTTCTACGAATCAACATAACATCCCCGATCGACAGAATATTAAAAAATAGACATACAAAATTCACTGCTAGATAAGAATAACTTGAAACAGTACCACTGTACTAATGTACTATGTAATAGTATAGTTTTCAAAAGCAACTACATTTCCTAATCGATATTCAATAGTCAACGATGCGGTATCATGGTGGTTTATAAAAAATAAACTATTACTGATTCTGATTTAACTAGTAACATGATTGTTACAACATAATATAATATAAATATTTTATTCATAGACACATATTATCTGTATTAGTTTCTAATTTACTAAAATATTTTACTTTATATTTACTAAATATTTTATTCATAGACACATATTATCTATATTAGTTTCTAATTTACTATGTAATAATTTTAAGTATTTTTCAATTATTTAAAGAGGCCCATCGGGGCCCTCTGAATTCTCTACTGGGGGTGCATGTATCACCTGCACTCCCGGTAGTTGTGGCACTGATACCTACTCATCCATTGTCGTAATATGTTCTTTGTAAGATAAAAAGTTATTTTAAATTATATCACGTTACATGAGGATAGTGTACTAAGTCAAAATATATTGCAATTTTAGTTGTTATTAATTAAGTGAACATACTTACTCAATTACGTAGATCTTTGCGAAACCGAATAAATAACATTATTATCATTATCATTGATACCAATTAAAAAAAATTCAATAGGTGTTTCGAGATGAAACCTACTATTTTAGATTACGATGATGTTATAATGTATAATAATAAAGTGTACGACGAAATTGAATTACCATGTAAGGTAGTCGAAAATCTGATCATGCTATAAAATGGCACAGCAGCCGCATCAGCGGTCACATCGTAAGTCGACTTGAGATAAGATAAACACGAGTTCACTGATTTATAAATTGAATGTCCACCACAAGCAGCTAACTTTCCATATCATAATAAAAATTTCAAATAATTGTTTGGATTTATTTAACGCCAAAAAATAACGTTGCCTTTTACCGGCACCGCATGGAAAGTAGCGTATCGAGTTCTATTATACGACGATTAGCCAAAACTCGATGATAGTCTATTAGTATACACCTAAATGAAATACGCTCTGAGTGGTCTTGTAACCGTTTAAATACACACATTTATATTTCAAATGTAGTCAAATTAGAGGTAAAGGGAATGGTTGTTTATCAATTTCAATATGTCTAGTGTGTTCTTATTTGGTCCCTTTGCAAACGTAAATCCTCATCGTTATTTCAGGATTACGTTTACATGTTTATGTACAATTGTTATATTGTGTAGTGTTATTAAAATTACGTCGTAAAACGTGGTGCAGAATAAAAGACGAAAAACTTCAATCGCGACAAAGATTAAATATGTGCTTAAAACCGTGGAAAATTGGTAAAGCGTGCAACTGCACACCCACTCGATTAGTATCCTGTAAATTGTATTTAAGAAACGATAAAATCTCTAACACTTCAACCCCCAAACTCCCCAGTGGATGACAATAAAATCCGAATAAATTCCGATGTAATATAAATAAGATTACAATCCTCAAGCTAAAAGCTACTTGTCAATAATTCTGATTGAAAATCAAAACACAAAAATCTAATTTTTTTATAAAAATAAAAAAATTAGATTTTTATAAATTTAAATTTTTTTTGTGAGATATTCGCTAACTCGATGACACATTCTTTGTTATCTCGTCAAAATATGTAGTTATTAATGTTTTACAATGCGTCTATCATTTTAATGATTTCCTAAATTGTTGTGAAGTTACTATAACAGTTTGCCCATACTTTCTACAAAGTTGAAATTTTTATTTTTGCATTTATATATTCCATACGTATTATACGAAGTATACGTATAAAATAACATTATAAAAATATCGAAAAACTTAAAGCCCTTAAAACAATGGTTAAAATGATAAAAATGATTGCTATCAGAGTTATTTTAATTGAATAGACATCATAACCAATTTTAATTTTGTTCGTTTCGAAAAGAAGCTTAAATAAATCATACGATTAAGAGTGGAATTGTTTTTAAATTTCCATAGAAATACATTGCAATGATTTTATGATAATATTATTTAAAAGTTTTATATTAAGTTTTTCGATTTAAGATGGTCGATAATAATTATAGTGTAAGCTTTGAAGATAAAGTGATCGTCGGTGGCGAACAAGTGGGTGACACGCATGGATTATGGTTTTCATACACAGAACGCATTATAATATAACATAAACGTACATTTTTTGTTTAATTTAGAATGGCCTTACGAATGGTTCGATATGTGTCAATACCAAAACACGAATAATATATTTCAAGCCAGGGCATACGTACACCGATAAAATACAATTATTAAACGTGACGGTTTTGCCACAAATCATTTGGATACAACCGCCAGATAGTAAAATATTTAAATTTCCAAACCTAACCACCGTGAGTAGTATATCCACACGGTTATTAGACATAACATTATATCGGTACAGAGCTTATAATAAATTAACTATTTTCATTTTTTATTTTTTTCGACCATTTTATTAGTTTCGTTTTCGTAATCCAAATGGCAAATATCTACTGTCACGATCAAAACGTTGTGCCCTGTTCATTTCATTTCAGCTATAAATGCATAAAATATAAAACAATGGTTATTTAACATTGCATTCTAAATGTGGACAAAATTGTTACAATTTTGTTTATTATAAATAATCACTTTAATTTTCTATTGATACCATCGCATATTATATTATCGAGTATGTAAACTGTAACCTAAACTATATTTATAGTAATAGCAATACGAGTATATAGCTATTATACACGTGACTACTAGACATTTATAAATTTAATAAATAGCACTACTTAACATGAAGTGCCTTCATATATATATATTTACTTAAATATTAAAATATCAATCATCAGCATAATAAATCATTTGATATTTACTTTTTACTGCTTTAAAATACTTTCAAGTAATCTAAAATCCATAAGATTTAAAATCATAATTAACGATAGTCTATAATTTACATAAATCCCACTGGTTTTTGGATATTTTAGTACATATTTTCTTTCGTACATTAGTATTGCTATATTTATTATACGAACATTTGACTATTGTTTTTTGTTCTTGTGATTTTAATGTAGAGGGAAAATATAAGCTTCATTGTTATTTTAAGTTTATTTTTCAATCCTCCCATTGTGAATAGATGTATGCACATACATGTGTGCAATAAAAATCTATTAGTTGAAATTATGTACTATTTTATTACATTTTATTTTTTTGATACAAATTTGCTTAATCGCATTTATTTTATTTCACACAAAGTTATACACGGTGATTCACCAAGCGTAAAATACTCATTATCTCAAAAACTATTCACTTTTTACAAATTTTTTTTTTCAAAATATTAGATCTATGCTGTTTTTGAATTATATATTTGTTTAATATTTTTCACTCTTATATTTATTAGTTGGACCACCATCAACTTTTGATTTTAAAATGGCAACCTGTACTTAAAATGTTATAATTTAGTAAAGTTTTTTTTCTTATAAATTATCACGTTTAAATTTTCGTTTTCCGTTTATCCATTGACGAGATATAATTCCTCAAAGTTAGGTAGTTTAAAACAAATAAATAATTCAAGAATAGCATAGACTGAAAATGTTAAAAAAAGTGAATAGTTTTTGAGATAATGAGTGTTTTACGCTTTGGTGAATCAGCCTATATAATTTAATTATTTTTGGCTATCATCAAATCCTGATGGTTTTATTTTACTTTTATTATTATAAAAAATTATTGGTCTAATAGGTCTCTATCCCCCCTGGCGAATCGTGGGATTTGCACTACACTTTTATGTCGAACTTAAACCAGAAATTCAAAAGTTATTTGCACTTGAAAAATCCAACTGGTCAAGGAAACTTGGCTATAGAATTAAAGGCTGTGCCGAGAATATCTTCCAGTTTGCCTCGAACCATTAATTTTGGACATGTAAACATTGGAATGAGGTTAGTAGAAAAATGAAATTGCAAAAATTGCAAAAAAATTATCTGCAAAAAGATATTTTATAGCGTTACAAAGAAGTTGAGTCTGACTCCCGAATCAAAACCGTATCAATTCCGCATATTTATTCCAAACGAGTCGCAGGAATTGAACGTAAATCCAACCTTTGGTTCGTTTCGTAATCTTGAATCGTACTAGAAATTGTTTAAACCAAAATTCATACTTTCAGGTAAAGTGTCTTGTGATTCTTCGACATACGTCACTATTCGTTATACGCCTCGGTCGTATATAACACTGTGTTCAGATTTAATATTTTACCATTCGGAAGCTAATCAAGAACCACAAGTTATAACAATTACGGCAGTCACAAAACCTAGAGACACGAAGTATGTTTTTCTACTCAGATTCATTAAAAACGATTACAATAAATTATAATAAGGTATTCAAATAAAATTCGAATAATATAATGCATACAAGTCTGGAGAGATAAAACGCACAATTGTTTGCCGAAAACAAATAAAATGTATAATTTTAGAGAAAGTATGTGTAACAAAATACGATTTTAAATCACGGATGTTATTAATTTTAGGTCACAAAAGTTACCAATATTACATACATTGCGAATGTTAAATAAAAATAAAAACGTTTTAGTATAAAATATTTCGTTTTGAAAATCCAATAAGACAGTATTATTGTCCAAGGGGGATAGAGCATTTTTTTCTTTAATATTTTTTTAATCTAACATTTTATTTTAGTGAACAAAATGTAAAAATGGAGAAACGTGAGCCAACGAAAATCGATTTGTCTCCTCGGAATATTACACATCGACGTAATATTCAAACACAAAAGGATAACAATACGGTTTTTAGCAGACTTAAACCTAATAAAATATTTGTGGATAAGACATGCACAATTCCCGTAGACTCGTATTCGTGGAACAGTAAGAAATAACAAAATTCTAAACAACCGTACTCATTATTTCGAAACATGTGGTTTTCGTTGTACATTCATAAATATACGATTTCAATGCGTCGAAAAATATTTATCAGTTTTATGAACATTGAACTGGTACACGGGATGAATGTTGTTAAAAAGGTGTGGTTAATCTCTAGTTCATACCAAGACCATAAATTGATCATACCACGGTATTAGAAGTTTTCTGTTAATTATCAAATATACTGAGTAATACACAACCGTATATTTTGAACGTTAATCATACGTACGCTTTTTGTTTATTTTTTTCTTAAGTAATTAATTTGTACATTAGTACAATTATTGCGAAAACGCGTAATGAACTTTTGGTTTTTAATTTGTTTGTAATATTGTCCAGATGCTCTAGGTGAACCGGACGAGGTGTACCGAGAAGCTTATGCGCAACACACTAAGACGTTTTTGTTGAATGCAAAACTTTTTGGCAACACAAATAAGAACGTTACATTTATATTATATTATTATTTTATATTATTGTATTATTGTATCATTATATTATATTAAATTATCATATCATTAGACAAGAACCAAATACTACAGTTGTCGAGGAAATTCTTAAGCGTGAAGCTGCATGGAAAACTTACGAAGTACTATATTTATTCAACTGAGCGAATAAATTACGTTTAAAATAATTTATTCACTATAGGAAAAACTCTACTCGTATAGAAACGTATCATACGATGACAATTTGCGGAAATCGACGGGACTTCGAGAGAGAAGCATTCGAATGAATCATATCGTAACTATATTGAGTATTTAAGGATTATCTTATATTAAATTGATTGATCAAGATGACTAAACTATCGATACTAACTGTAACTTACAGCCAAATTATACCTTAGAGGGATTAATGAAAGAGTGTATTATTCATTTAATTAAATTCACTTTGGGAAAGGGTAAGCAAAAAATAATTCTCACTCATCTATACACAGTATAATAGAATGATATCTTGTAATTATATGTGTATACGTACATATTCTGGTGGTGTATTGGTTTTAGGAAATCAGTGTAAATGGATGTTGATGTTTTTCAATACAAATTGTCTTGAAGCTTCTTATTTTTTTTGTAGGACACGAGTGTACACGACTTTGATCCGAATCTCGATGATAACTGGTGGGTAAGATTCCAAACTTACAACAGATTCGTAAGCGCTGTCAGGAAAATTATTATCAAAAATCGTTTAAAAAAGAGACTAGAAAATTTCAAATAATAAAATAGTGTTTTCACGTTCACTTTTATCAATCATATTCCATTCTTATGTAGGGTTGAAATCCTTAATATTTAAAAATGAAAATTTAAAAATGTACTCACACGTTTCAGCTTTTTATAGTTTATGTATTAAATATAAAAGAAAATCGTTAAAAAAAAAAATAAAACCTGTGCGGACTTTTTATCGATCTCACAAAGATTTGGTTTCGAAAACAAACAGATTTAATTATAACACTAAATCGTGTGTGTGTACATTTTATTTGCTGTACAGTCGAAGAATGAAGTACAGTTTAACCGTGCTACGACATTAATCAAGTTATCACTTTATCGAAAACTAATTTACGCGACTGCCGTTATACTAATAAATCGTAATAAAAATACATCACAATAATACGTTAACTTTCGTTTTGAACGTACACGAACGTATTCGGTCGAAGATAAAGCCATGGACGCCAACGAATGTATTTATCTACGCCAAGCTTATACATTAATTATTAATGCATCCGATTATGCTAAACTTTTGTTCGGCCTGTAACGCGTATGGCGTGCGCACACACAAATATAAGTATAATTTAACCCTGCATTGATTAGTGTTTTATAGCCACGATGGTTTATCACGCGTACAAGTATAACTCATGTGCACGTTATCTTCCATACGTTTCCGTTGCATCGAAGAATAATAAAAGTGGCGTACGCCATGCAATAACAATCTAGGAACACGTATTAATCGCGAGCGGTTCGTTCGTTCGCGTAATCTGGACCGAAGTTTTCACGAATAAAACGTAACGACAATCGTGTGTGATCGAATACGGTTACACCCTTACGTACCGTTCACGCACGTAGTACGGGTTCGACGACGACAACCGCACAGTGTTCGATACGTTTTACATATTGCGTTTCACCTTCTCCGTGTCCTCAGCCCGCAATTTTTACCCTCGTTCCGATCGTGCGAAGAATACCGTTCGACACGCGAAAACGTGTTCGTGGTCCTTTTGCCGATTCCGTGGGACGAACGAGCCACAAACTTTACGCTCACGATTCGCGCACGTGCGGCCAGTCGCACGTGGAAACACACAGACGACCGTGTGGGTAAAGCTGGGTTCATACGGGTTTTGTACACGGTCGAGTCACTAAAGTAAGTTGCTGAATCGAGTACTTGATTTATTTAAATAAATAATAAATTGATTATTGTTTGTTCTAGTGATGAGCTTCGTAGGAATGTAACTCCAAAGTCGACGTAAGTATTATTATCGTTATTATATTATTTTTAAATTTTTATTTGTTATGAAAGTTGTTTTAACAAAGTTTTTTTGTTATAACGTTATGATAAGATAGTATTTTTCTAGTATTATTGAAAAAAAAATTATATTTTTATCTTTAAATTAACGGATAGAGCAAAAATAATAAAATTAAAATTCTGCTTATTTTTGCATGAAACAAAATGGACATTCCATAGACATTCATACGTCGGTATTCTTCCACAAACTTTGAAGTGGTATTTTCATTCCACTTTTGACTCATATTTAATGATTGAATCGTTAAAAAGCTAAAATATAAGAATAATTTTATCTAAAATCTACAAAAGTTGTATTTAATATTTCAATCATAGCCCATAGGAAATATCGAGGGAAATATTTAATGATATATAACAGAACGATACTGATAAAGAATTTTACCGGGGATTATATTAAACATAATGGTGACAGTGGTGTCGAGATTGGTTTAGTAGGTAAACGAGTGCAAGTAGCAAGTCCAACTCGGTCGGAAATTAGAACTGTTTTCGAGTAACTTGACAAAAGTATTCACTAAAACTGATACTGGGATTAGCAGTAATTATTGTGTTCATAATTTAACGAGTAGAAAAATTGTACTTTAGTGACTCGGTCGAGAACTAAACCCGCGTGAATCAGGCTCAAGACCGAAAAATTTTTACACATCGAGCGTATAAAGCGGTACGGGAAATATAAGTCCCGTGCGCTTTACGACCGCGATAACCGTATCTGATATCGGAATAGCACATTTTACCGCTGCAGATGCCGCGACGCCTAAACGTGTTATAACGTTATCGAGTACTGCTCGTGCAAAAACTGTACGACAAGTTTTAAAATCGAGTTTTAATAATGTTTCGTCGGATCACGGTGTACCGAGCGGTTCACCGCCAGGTGTACGGACGAGTGTCATTTAAACGGTAACGAACAGCAGCTACAACTGCTACGTTATTGTTTAACTTGGCTTATACCGTTTCGATGGTTAGCGCATCGTGATATTGTCACGAAGAAAAACGATTGTAACGAAAGTGAAAACATTTTTTAAAAAAATGGGCGAAATCACCGGGTCAAATGATAGATACTTGAAACTAATACAATATTGTTCTTGAAAAAACGATTCTGAGTTTATCTTTTTTAAGATGAATTACATAGTAGTAGAACCAAACTGTCTAAAACTCACTAATGACGTTGGTTCAACTTTTAACTTTTTAACTTTTGTATAAGAAATAAAAAAACAACAATTGTGTCTATAAACAACAAAAATAATTTCAATTAAATATTATATAACCATGAAATGTATTTAAAATACTTATATAAGTATTTAATACATTTTTGAGTTATTGTAGTTAATATTTATTGGATAACAGCTAAATGACTAATATTGTTACTTGAAAATCCATAGAAACATCTGCTTTTATTAAAATTTTATTTTGTAACACTCTTCGCAGCTTTTCAATAATTTTTTTTTTTCCCAGTTAATAAAACTCATGAACAATTTTGTATACAATTTTCAAGCTTTAGTACAAAAATTGAAAGTTTTATGAATTTTTAATTAAACCATTATAACTAATATTCTTGATCTTCATCATTTTGTCAAAATATAATATTCAAAGTTGTAGAATTTTTTTTCCCTGTAATTAATAATAAATATGTTTGATGAACTTTGTAATACATTTTGAAAACTATTTTTTAACATATTAGAAAAAATAAAGAATACATGAAATTTTTAAATAGATAAATAAATATCTCAAAAATATATTAATATATTATTCTATCCATAGCGAACGATGATATAAGTGTTAAATGAAAATTTCAAGTTTTACGATTGTTATTTTTTAAAAGTTACGATGGAAAAAAAATTTGATCTTGTGGAAACTATTTCAAAAAAAAAAATATACATCATGGTAAAATAATATATTCTTCGTTTCATTCAAAATTTAAAATGAATAAATTAAAAATTCAGATATAACAATAATATGTTATATTCTTATATTAATTTATAGAACTGTCTAATATAATCTGAATAGACTGATTCTCTGTTATAATATTACATGTAAGTCGTATTTATTTAAATTGTAAATTTGTCGTCAACTAGAAAACATTATATTTATCATTGACAGTTTTTATAGTCATACTTTAAATGAATTTTGAAATTTCATATTCTAGGTGTGATTTTATAACTAAACCGATTTTTTTTTTTTGTAGCTTCGATTCTATGAAGACTGTTGTTCTGAAAAATACGAAAAAAAATATAGTTTATTGTTATAAAATGTATGTACTTTAGAAAACGAAACTATACCAAGTTGTTAAGGACATTATGGATCAACAATTTTATTAAAATTCTTCATTTTTTTTTTTTTAAGTTTTTTATTATACATATTCTGTTGGAATTATGTATATTATATTAATAACATAATAATGTCCACAAAGGTACTCTGTTTAAGTAAATTTAATAAAACATTTTGATTGAAGCTTCGTACATGGACATGATGTATGTTTCTGTTAACATTTTAATGGGAATTTCATATTTTTTTCTTGTACTAACTATATACATATATATATGTTAATTACTAATTTATAAAAAAATACATGACAAAAGGTAATTTACTAGAGGAAAAATATTTATATTATTATTATACGGACCATTGGCATGCTTTTCAACTTTCTAGGAACTAAATTTTTAAGTCAAATCAGGTCACGAAAGCTATGGACAGAAGTATATTGAATATATAATCAAATAACAGAAAGCACAGATCAAATAAAAATGTAATAAATTCATGTCTGCCGGTTTCAGAAAAAATAATACGTCTTATAAAATAATTTTAAAATATTATTCTTAAATTCTCGTAACTCGTGAACAAAAGTAATATTAATCTTTTTGTTGTAGATTTGAAATAATTGATCTTTCACGAAAAAAAATAAAAATAATAACAGTAATGCCTTTATTATAGAATACAATATTTTACCTAGACTAAAATAGAAAAGTAAAGTATATTCATAATATACGAGTAGTATTATAATACTATCCAATATGTGCTGTTTGTAATCATATTTATCGTATCTAATTGTTCGTGTATATTTCTTATTTCTTTTTTTGACTAAGCTAATTAAAATCTATACATATACATATTTTTGTTTGATATACAGATTAATATATAATTGTATACCGAATATGTTTGAGTTTAGGTAGTATTCTTACGTATAGAAAATAATAAATCGTTACGATAAATTATGATGTACTTCTAACGTTTGCTTTCACAAACTCATTTGTTCTTTATGAGAGGGATTTCCTCTTCATTCACTTCATTTACCCTCTCTCATTTCGCTCCAATGTACCGTTATTGTCATATGTCTATAAAATTCAAAAACTATATGGTACTATAATAACCTCTCAACCATTCAACTCTCTATGTCACATTTTATATTGTATAATCAACCGAAATGTAATATAACCGAACGTGTCCAAGCTGACTGATTACTCAATGTACAGCCAAAACTCAGAGCCGTACCGAGCCATTTTTTATTCTGAAGAAGAACTGAAGCAATGCGTGCCCTAGGTTGTAGGTTTTTCACACTCAGAGCTTTTAATATAATATAAAATATTTTAGGCATAAATTCCAGAGCTAATCTCTTATAAAGTTTTTTTGGTTTTTTGATTTTTCGATATCATTTATTGACTTATTAACTGCTCTAGATTGTATTTATAAATCAT